TGGTCAGATTCCCCTCCCCGCATTGGTCTTCCGATTTTTTTTTTTTTTTTGGTAGTTTTATATTTTTGTTCAAGTATACCCTAACCCCTAACTTTGCATTGAGTTGACTTTATTACTTTTTTTTTTCTTTTTTGTGAAATTGTTTAAGATTGCTTTTTGGCTCTTGTCCAAGAGTGTCACTGTTTAGACCTGGCTGGTCAGGAACTCGTTAAGTAGATCTCTCAGCCTGGTGTTGATCTCTCCGAGATCGTACGGCCTCTGCTGCCCAGGTACTGGGATTAAGGATGTGAGCCACAACGCCCAGGGCACTGAGTCTTTTTTTCTTTTCTTTTTTAACTTTTTATTGGTTCCTGGAGAATTTCACATCACGCACCCCAATCCCACTCATCTCCCTGTCCTTTCCACCCATATAGACCCCCACACCCTGCAAAGAAAACAAAACAAGATAGAATAAAAAGAAAGTCTTGCAGTGTAAGCTGTAGTGTGTCGCGGTGTGTCACATCGAGGTGTGTCACACATCTCCACTTGCAGCCGCTCACTGCACTGAGTCATCAGTCTGCCCTGAGGCCTCTGGCCTCTGCCACACCATCTACACTGGGTCCTCACAGGAACTCTCTCTCGGATATCCTGACATTGTCCAGTGTCATGGAGGTCCTGCAGCTTTGGATCTGCAGAACCAGCCCCTTCTCAGGCTCCAGCAGATCATAGATGTAGGGTAGATGTTGGGGCAGACCAACTCAAAACCCTGGATCTGGGTCTGGGAGGCAGCTGATCAGCCCACCAGCTCTCCTGTGCTCAAACCACCAAGGCTAGCTCTTCAGTATTGCCCCTGCTAGCTCACCCAGTGCATCAGCCAGTAACAGGCAGGATCAGCTCTCCCGCTCTCAAGTCCTGGGTGTTGGCTTACCTGTGCTTTTGCCAGCTCTACTGTGCTGCCCAGGTGAGGTGCAGGACCCACTCTCCTGAGTGCTGCAGCCAGTGAGGGGCAGGGCCAGCTCTCCCAGGCTCCCCTGCACCCCTCCACAAAGGGTCCACTCTGCTGTGCTGTCCAGATGAGATACATCGAATTTCTTATTTCTTTATAATTTTAATTTCCCAGAGTTCTTTTTGTTCCCTGAGTAGATCTTAAAAAAAAAAAAAAAAAAAGGCACTGTGTGGCTGGAGAGATGACTCATCAGTTAAGGCATTGACTACTCTTGCAAAGGACATGGGTTCAGTTCCCAGCACCTACATGGATGGCTCATAACTGTCTAATTCCAGCCCTAGGGGTGTCAGCTTTTCTAACCTCTGAAGGCATTGCATGCACATGGTTCTTGGATATACACACAGGCCAAATACCCATATACACGAAAAGACTAAAAACAGCACTGTCACTGTTTGTTGGGTGCATCCCTCGGCTCTGAGTTTTCCGGCCTGCACTGTCTGAGCTTCTGCGTTTAGAGTTTTTTGTTTATTTGTTTATTTGTTTTGTTTTGGTTTTTTTGTTTTTTGTTTTTTGGTTTTTCGAGACAGGGTTTCTCTGTGTAGCCCTGGCTGTCCTGGAACTCACTCTGTAGACCAGGCTGGCCTCGAACTCAGAAATCCGCTTGCCTCTGCCTCCCAAGTGCTGGGATTAAAGGCGTGTGCCACCACCGCCCGGCCGTTTAGTTGTTTTAATCTTGCTCTCTAACCCAGAGGCTTTCTTCAAGTATAAGATGTTCTTCTGTTGTACCTATTAAGCTGCGAAAAGCTGGGTGGAAGCTTCTCTTCATTGCTAAGACCCAGTTGGGAATGAAAGATTCTGTCGGGGGTTTAGTACCTCAAAGTTTCTTTCCCTGTAACCCCCTAGTAGTCCAGGGTCCCCGACCTGTAGACACAGTGTCGAGAGTGTAGCTCGGCTGGGAATCCTGTGCCTGGCAGTCCTGTGGATGACTTTTTGCCCAGGGCCCTCTGGCTTCTGTTTGACAGCTCAGATGGCTGCTGGGCTGGGATGGAGGCCGCTCCTCTGCTCCTCGGCTCCCGGAGCTGTCTCCCTCCTTTCCTCGGGTGGGCTTGTTTTCAATGCTGCTCTGGGCCTTGATCTTTCATCTTCTAATCTCATCTGCTCAGGTTACCTTCCACTTTAATCTCCCACAAGTGTGTTGATGAGTCGTAACTGCCGTCACTCCTCATTCCCTCTGCTCTCCAGAGTTTCATTTACTCTACCTGGCTGAAACCTTATTTTATTATTATTCTATTTACAGTATTGGACAGCAAACAAAGGGCTCATACAAGCTAGGCAAGCACTACCACTGAGCTACACGGCCAGCTCTTCTCCTCCTTATTTTGAGACAGGGCTTTACTAAGTTCCCAAGGGCACCTCCTAGCCTCCTGCCTTAGCCTCCTGAGAAGCTGGGTTGTGGGCTTGTGCCACCATACCCAGCTTGAATGAAGATGTGATTATGTTTTACATGTCTATTTATCTTGTATGTGTGTGTGTGCACCACATGTGTGGGAAGGTCAGAGGTCAACCCGAGGGGTCAGTTCTCTTTCTCCAGCATCGGATTCCAGGGATTGAACTCACATCTAGGTTTACTGTCGAGTGCCTTTACCCACTGAGCTACCCTGTCAGCCCAGAGACTGTGTATTTTGACCAGATGTGTAGGTTATTATGTATTTACATTTAAACTTAATTCTGCCATCTGTCTTTTTTCCGTGTTGGGAATTGAACCCAGGGCCTCTACTATGAGCCACTTAACCCTAGCCTCTTCTTTTCCCAGACCCACTTTTTCTCCTTGGGTCAGTCTCACATATCCCTGGATGGCCTTGAGCTAGACTTCACTATTTTACCAAACGTACCTTGAGTCTCTGATCCTCTGTCCGCACCTCCCGAGTGGCGGGATCACAGGTGTGTGCCACCTCGCCTGGTTTTATGCACTGTGGAGATCAGATCAAACTTAGGGCAAGTGAAACAAGCACTCTGCCAACTGGGCTACATCCCCAGTCCCGTTCTTGAGACAGCATCACTATGTAGCCCAGGCTATCTTTGAACTCATAATCCTCCTGCCTCTGCCTTTTGAGTGCTGAAATTGTAGGTCTGTGTCACCATGTGTGGCGGCTACCTCTGTCATATTCAGTTCTACCTACCATGTCTCCTCTCTGCTATTTTTCCTTTTGTTTTCTTTTTTTTTTTTTTTTGGTTTTTTGAGACAGGGTTTCTTTATGTAGCCCTGGCTGTCCTAGAACTCACTCTGTAGACCAGGCTGGCCTCTAACTCAGAAATCCGCCTGCCTCTGCCTCCCAAGTGCTGGGATTAAAGGCGTGCGCCACCACCGCCTGGGCTTCTTTCCTTTGTTATGTAGACTGAATTTTCTTCTCCTGTTTGGAAGGTTATGTGTGACTGAGTTCGTGCGTCTTTCTCACAGTGTAATTTAGTAAGCCCACACTTGAGTTTTTCATTGTCTTGACCCTTGCACGGTCTCCCTTTTCTTCCATTCTACCTGCCTTGGTGGGTCCAGGCTGTACTCCATGGCTGGGCTCTGTGGAGGGGCGGGGCAGCACTGCCCGTCTGCCGTTGCTCAGAACTGGCGAGGTTCTTCCTGGGTGTCTTAGAGGCCTTCAACTCTCAGAGATGATCTGATTTAAAGCAGTGGTCCTCAACCTTCCTGATGCTGTGACTCTTTAATATGTTGTGGTGACTTCAACCATAAAATTATTCATAATTTTGTTACTGTTATGAATTGTAATGTAAGTATCTGATATACAGATGGTCTTAGGTGACCCCTGTGAAAGGGTTGTTCTATTCATAAAGGGGCCGTGACCCACGGGCTGAGCAGGACTGTTTTAAAGGCTATCTAAGCATCCCTGAGGTTTTGTGTAGGGCTAGGGATGGTAAGTAGGAGAATCAAGGCAGAAGGACAGGTCAGGAATTCTGGAAAACTTAGACCTGCAGCTACTCCTCAGCCCTCCTCTCTGAGATACCTGCTGTTTGCCCCAGCTTGGCTCTCAAGAGTTGTGCAGAGCATTGTTACCCCCCACCCCCAACCCCCACTCTGTGCAGGCGAGAAACAGCCAAGGGAAGGGGTGGCAACCTGGCTGTGTGTGAAGAGCCAGCCTCGACTTGAATCACCAAGTTCTTATCAAGCAGCGAAGCGGAGCCAGCAGTATTGGAGCTGTCAGGGTTTCTCCAGTGGCCAGGAAACGGAATTTCCTTTGTGAGATCTTCCAATGTATACATTATTAACACTTGTCACAACTGTCCAGGCTACATGACTGCCTGTGGTCAGACTCTGCGGCCTTTGCCCACAGCCATGGTTGTCAGACGATTCTTTCTGTCACCCTTGACTGGCCTTCCTCCTTGATGAATGTCCTTTCCTGACTCAGTGCTTTAGCACAGGTTAAACAGCCCCCTCATTTGCGTCAATACTTCTTCAGTGATTGACAGGGTGAGGACACTCACTCTCCCCAACATGAGAGCACAGACTATTTTTCCCAGAGCCTGTCTGCAGCCTGAGGCCTCTTCCCACACTCAGGCCTTGCTCCTGAAAGTAGGTGAGGGGACTCTACTGTCACACTGGAGCATGGATTTTGACACACTATGTGCACACCTGCTGTCAAAGCCTTGTCCCGTAACAGAACAAGCTTGGCACAAAACTTGGTCCTGTGAGTCTCCTTGGTTGGCCCCACTGTCTCCCATAGGTTTGAGTTCCCGTCATCCTCTGCTGCCACTGCCTCTGGCCTCAACTGCCCCAGTGGCAAGAGGCCGCCACCGCTTATACCCCCGAGGCAGGGCAGGCGGTGACTCATTTCTCAGCAGCCTCTTAAACAGGGAAGTGAGACGTGTGCACCTGGCAGGGCCTGACCTTTGAGTGACAGCGGAAGTAGCTGTGTAAACATGAGGTTCATTGCTAAGGGGAAGTCCTGGTCAGTGCCAGGCAGTGAGGACAGCATCTGCCTGCACTGGCCCCTCATGTAGCTTATCCGCCCGTGGTTCTAGTAACTTTTCCCTTTCTTCTCCCTTCCCTCCACTTTCTTGGTGACAGCTGGAAGTCACAGTGGTAACAACGGAGAGAGCCAAACATTTCTACAGCACTCAGGATGTCCCCGTCACCCTCTACAGTGACGCTGATGAATGGGAGGTCAGTATGGGCCCATTGCTTTTCTTCCAGCAGGACAGAGCTGTCTTCCTTTCGGCCTATGGCCCTGGCTGCTGGAGCACACGGCCTGGGCTCAAGTCAGCGGTCAGGGCCATCTGGGTAGAGGCGATGAGGAAAACATCTGTCTAGCTCCTGGCCTGCGGGAGGCCTGTGGTACCGCCTTCCTTAGGCAGAGCTCAGCTTTGGCCCAGTGCCCTGGGTTGTGTCCTTGTACTTATCTGGGCTGATGAAACCACAGAGGCACTCTGTTCCCACCACCCTGGTCTGTGTGGCTCTCAGCGTCCAGAGTGCCTCACTTCCCACGGCCGCTGGCCATGTCTCTGCCCTCCCGCAGAGGGGTGGGCACCAGCAGAGTCGCCAGGAGCAGAGCGTGGGCCTCATAGGGCTGTCCTGCCAGGCGGTTTAAAACATTCTCAGCCTCAAACATTTCTGGCTGGCCTGCCCTTCCCTCTCTTCCCCTCCCCCTCCATTTCTCACCGCCCCAGAGCTCTTCGACTGGCTTGGACAACCCAAGCATCCGCCTCAAGCAGACAGGCCAGGAGTTCCCTGCCAGATGTCAGTTCTCTTGAAAACCAAACCATAAAGGGAATACGCTCAGAGAGACAAGGAGCGTTTGTTTCCTCAGGCCTGCTTTCTGTCAAGCTGCTGGCCAGTGCTCGCCAGCTTCTCTGTGAGAGGGAATAGGTGGAAGACTAAGGCAGTTGGAGATGGTTTCCTTGGCTTTTTCAGCTTACTGTACCTGGCCTATGTGACCGCTATCCCCTCCCACACACATACTGAGCATGGCTGGATTGGTGACCCCCGTTTCTTTTCTCTGGCAGATGTGGAAGCGCCGTTCTGACCCGGTTCTCCACATAGACCTGCGGAGGTGGGCTGACCTCCTGCTTGTGGCTCCCCTTGATGCCAACACTCTGGGGAAGGTGGCCAGTGGCATCTGTGACAATTTACTTGTGAGTGACTCCTGGTGTCCGTCTGCTCTCTCCAGCTTTGCTCCCAGTTTGCTGAGCTGCAGATTTCACTGTACAAAGAAGTCTGTTACTATGGGATGCAGGTTGTTAAGCAGCCCTCCTGTTACTATGGGATGCAGGTTGTCAAGCAGCCCCCGTTACTATGGGATGCAGGTCTGTTGAGCCCTCTCTGCTCCTGTCTCTTTAGCAAGGAGGCTGAAGATCTGAGTCCAGTGGACCATCTGGCTTTGCATCTGGTATCTGGGTATGTCCACCTTCTCCTGCCCCCAGTGGTCAGCCGGGCGCCCCGCCCTCTGCTCTTCCATCATCCTTCCTCACAGGCTTCCTGCCCTCCACATGCACTTCCATTGACTTCCCTGCCTTTACGGCTTCCCTGTCAGTTCCTCCTTCCCTCCAGAATCTAGAAACACACAGGAATACTCTCAGAAGACTTGTTACTTCCTCAGGGGCCTCACATACTTATTTCTCTGTAGTCATTTTGGCCTCAAAGCTAAGACCCAGTTTTCACATCTATCGGGGAAAGCTGAGGGGAGAACAAGGAGGAAAAACTGAGTGAGAAGTCATTGCCAGATTGGCTTAGGCCTCTGAGACCTCTCGGGAGCTGCTCCCTTAAAGAAAATCTGTCTTCGTTTCTGTGATAATTCTGGGAAGGTCTATGGTCACCCCTTCCTCCATTTCTTGACCTTTCACCTCTCATGTTCTGGAGGCTTCTATTGGAGACACAGGGAGTGCTCACTCTGGAGAGAGGTCTGTGATCACCATGCAGACAGGAGGCAAGTGTACCGTGGTGAGCACTGTGGTCTCAAACGAGTCATTAGTCTTTGGAGCCTGCCTTGGTACTAGGCACTCAGTAGGCCGTTACTAATACTGCTTGTGTGTAGTAGAAAGTAATTCTCTCTCATAAATATTTTTGTTTGAATTTACGTTTGTGTTTGTGTGTGCTTGTGTGCGCTAGTGTCAGACTTCTGGCAGTTCTCCTGCCTCCGCCTTCTGACTACTGGCATTACTGGTGTGTGTTACGGCAGCTCCATTTTAGAGTTGAAAATGCTGAAGAAATGAATCTTGAAGATGCGTCAGGAACTTTAGGATGTCACATATGACGAAGGCCCTTCATCTGGGCCTGGGGCACAAGCCTGTAATCCTGGCAACTCAAGGGGCAGAGGCTGAAGGATCAAAATCTCAAGGCCTGGTGGGCTACGGAGTGAATCTCTAAATAGAAAATAAAGAGGGCTGGATAGTTTAGGGGCAGAATGCACGTGAGGTGAGTGGGAAACCCTAGGCTCACTCATTCCCCAGGATGGCGTGGAACAGAAAAGCGGACATTAGTATCCTTGCTTGCTCATGAGGGGGCTCTTAGCTCCTCTTCCGAGAGGCCGCTGATGACCTGAGCATTGTTAGAGAAAGAGTATAGGACAGGAAGAGTACCACCCTGAAGCTGTGGCCAGGAGCAGACTGGGGAGGACAGCAGAGCTGGGTGTGGCATGGTCCTCACTGCCCAGTAGGACCGGGACAGGTCAGCAGGGCACTGAAACTGGTGAGGAGGTACTCAGCCATGTACCCCGCTGCGCTCCCATTGGTGACAGAACACACCAGCCTCAGAGCTGAACCCCAGCCACTTCCGTAGGCTTCCTCCTACCCTCTGAAAACTCAGGCCTACCTCCTTGTTGTTGATGTTTTTTCGTTATTATACGCCCGGCCCTTCCCCTTTAAAAACAGTCTTGAGCTGACTGGAGAGATGGCTCAGAGGTTCAGAGCACCGGGTGCTCTTTCAGAGGACCGGGGTTTGATTCCTAGTACCCACATGGCGGTTCACAACTGTCTGTGACTTCAGTCTTGAGATCTGACAGCTTCTTTTGGCCTTGGTGGGCACCAGGCACACGTGTGATACACAGACATACATGCAGTCAAAACATGTAAAACAAATATAATCTCATGTAACCCAACTGGCCTTGAAATCCTGATCCTCTCTCTCTTCCTTCCCAGGCATGGGATTGCAGGCATGGCCTGAGGGCCTGGCTTCTTTTCCTCCCGCTGCTACCCCTCTATCTTTGAGGTTCTCTTCTTCAGAATTGACTGGACAGTGGAACATGTTCCCCAAACTAACCATTTGCCTCAAACAGTTTCCCTTGAAGACAGATGTCTGAGACAATCTCTAGTGTTAGGGTTTGAGCTGTCAGCATCCTAGGTGGTATGGCCGCCTCCTCCTCAGTAGGTGTCTTCATAGAGACCTGAAAGGAAGCCCAGCCTGCTCCCTCTTTCCAGACTGTCCTGTTTCCAGCATTGGAAAGGTGCTGGGGAGCGGTGGGCTAGGTGTCCTCAGTCCTCCTCCTCAGGCCCGATGCCTGGGAATGGCTGTCTCCGTCTGCTCGGGCCTGGCTTCTGTGCTAAGCTGTCAGGTCCAGAAAGAGGGGTCGACTCCCCAGGTTGCCAGTCAGGTGCTGTGCTAGTCTCTGGACTGGGATTCCAGCCGTCTGCCCTGCCTGAGCAGATTCCCAAAGGCAAGGCTGAGGCATCCAGCATGGTGCCAGCCATTTGGCTGTAGAAGCCATTGTCCTCTTCCCTTCCTACTGCTGGTTGCTTCAGAGGAGCTGTGATTTGTCCAGGAAGCACTGAGCTGTGAGTCAGACAGTTGGGAAGCAGCCCCACTGAGGGCAGACAGATTGGGTTTTGCTGTGGTCAGCATGCTCTGTTTTGAGGGTTCTTAGAGTCCAGCCCCCACCCTGTTCCGACACCACTCATCAAGGGGCCTTTCTAGGTTTGCTTATGACTCCTGTAAAAGCAGCAGGTGGCACAGAGCCAAGGAGAAATGTGACTGAAAGTGTCCGCTTACAGCCAGGTTGTCTTCTTGAGAGGAGTTGGTGGGAAAACAGTATTGATCCCTGGGATGAGGCAAGCAACTGGATTTGAGACTGTTTGCTGTCCCAGGAGAGGGCAAGGGCACTCAGGACGGGCGGGTGGCCACTGGCCTGTTTCTGTGTCTCTCATGCTTTTCCAAATGTATTCTTTCTGGGAAGAGGTGTCACAGTTGCTGTCTCCCAGGAGCTCTCAGGAGGAGGTGGCTGGTATAGTCAGAGCACAGGAAGCCTGTTTCTTTGGTAGGCCATCCTTGGCCTCCTGAGCCTGTGCTTGGGGTACTGTAGGAGCTGTAGTTGTAGACCCTGTACTTAGTGCCAGGCCCTCAGCTAAGAACATTGAAAGCCTTTGCATTTTTTTCTGGAACCTGGGGTACCCACCTCTCTGATATCAGCACTTAGGAAAGCAGGGGACCAAGAGTTGAAGGTAGATTGTTACATTGCCAGTTCAGAGGCCAACCTGGGCTACATGAGGCTGTGCCTCCAAAAACTACCTCCATACAACACCACCATCAAAACGCTCACATTCTTTTTTAATTTAAAAAAAATTATTTTATTTTGAGATGGGGTCTATATAGACCTTGGTGGCCTAGAACTTGCTATGTAAACTAGGCTGGCTTCAAACTGGGAGAGCCGTGTATGCCTCTGCCTCCAGAGGGCAAGGATTAAAGGAGTACGCTACAATGCCCAGCTTTTTCTTTAAAAAAATAAAATGTATTCCAATCTGACCCTGAACTTGAGGTTCTCTTTCCTCAGCCTTCAGGAGGGCTGATATTACAGGCGTATGTCCTCATACCTAGCATTCAACCATGGTCTGATTTCAAGCTTGCATGATTCACAATCTCAAGACTGAGTTGGAAAATAGGAAGGCGGGGAGGAGGGGAAGGTCTGAATTGGCCCAGCTCTTTCGTAGCCGTTCTGGTGTGAGACCTGGTGGTACGGTCTGGCTTTGGGAGATGGAGAGGCTGCCCCGTCAAAAGGTTGGCTGTACAGGACCCTGTTTGTATCTGTGTGACAACTGTTTATCTGAGGGGGGCTGCGGCTTGCTCATCTGTGAACAGGGGACAATACCTTCCTTATAGGGCTACGGTAAGGGTTCTTGAGATAATGGATGAAGAAAGGTACCCTGTGCTGGATGTTTTCATTCTCAGAGCTTAGTTGGCCTAGAAGTAGAACTGTTGCTGAGTGGAACGTGAACAGTCTGGTTCCTAGCTTTCCAGTGAGCAGTGAAGCTGGCCTCCTGTCCCCCAGGATTGCTTCTCTGCCCTCAAGTCGTGAGCCTGTGTGGAGGCTCAGGCTGGTGGGCAGGGAGATTGCATACAGGATGGAGGTCTGTTGGTATTGGGGTCACTGTGGGTACTGATTGGGTGTCTCCTGTGTCTAGGACCAAGCTAGAGCCTGAGTGCAGATGATGAGGGTGAAGCGACAGCCCTCCCTCCCAAGGATGCAAGAACAGGTCTCTGTAGATGGGTGACACCCCGTCACCCCTAGGCAACAGCTGCTCTGCTGACCATGGCAAGGACAGCAGGGAGGATTTGGGGGGACCGTGAGCATCGGTAGGCAGAACATCAGCATCTCCTCCCCCACTTCTTCATAGACATGTGTCATCCGGGCCTGGGACCTCAACAAGCCCCTCCTCTTCTGCCCTGCCATGAACACTGCCATGTGGGAGCACCCTCTCACTGCACAGCAGGTGGGCCAGCTCAAGGCCTTTGGCTACGTGGAGATTCCCTGTGTGAGCAAGAAGCTGGTGTGTGGAGACCAAGGTAGGCTTCTCACCACACACAACCCAAAGCCGTAGAAGGGGCTCTGCTTTGGGGTCACCTCTGGGTTCTGTGAGCCAATGGTCAGAGCTGTTTTCTGAGCTCAGCCCTCTCATCTGGAAGTGGATAGAATGCTAATTCTCGTCTCTCAGGACTATCAGGCTGAAGCGAGACAGTATGTGTGAAGTGTCTGGTGGAGCCCCTGGCAACGGAACAAACACTGTTAATGGAATGACACCCGGCCCTGTCCTGGACTATCTTGGTAGAGATATGGTAGAATCAGCTCAGGCAGAGCTGGACTTGTGGTCCCCAGGCTTAGGATGTGGGCAGAGTGCACAGGGGAGATCTTAGTGGTAGCCACAGGCATGGTTAGCTCATCTGGTGCCTCTAAGTCACGGTGAACTTTGCTTCCAGGTCTAGGAGCCATGGCTGAAGTGGAAACCGTTGTGGCTAAAGTGCAGGAGGTGCTCTTGCAGCAGCGTGGTGGCAGCCAGCAAAGTTGAACTGGGATTTCTGCCGTGATGGCCCTGCACCCAGTGAGTTCCGCCTGAGCCGTTGAAGAAGGGGATCAGCACGGTATGAAGAGCTGTGCTTGCTGAGGAGGGGCTAGCCTGCACCTTCTCGGAACCTCCCTTTGGTCTAACCCTCTTCAAGCTACATGGGACCACAGACCCAGGTCCTGTCTTCTTTCAACCAGGAGATGCCTGCTTCCTGGAGGCCCTCCCATTTCTTTCTGGGATAGCCCCCAAAGGACTAGGCAAACACACTGCTACTGGAAGGGTAATTGAATGACCGAGGGACCTCCTGTCTGGGAACTGCTTTTAGACACACCACGGCTGCAGCTGAGCATGGAGGTTCACATCTGTAATCGTAGCACTCAGAAGGCTGAGGCAGGATTGCTACAAGTTTGAAGCTGGCTTGGGCTACAGAGTGAGCCAGGCCTGTGAGTGTGATAGCCTACTTCAAAACAAAAGCAACAAGAAGAACCACCATAGCTCAAGATCCCAGGCACAGCAGGCCCCGGTCAGCCCCTGGTCAGGCCCTGGAAGCTCCCATTCTTTGGTGCCCAGGTGTCACACACACAGTCGAGAAGTCTGTGAGGTGGCCAGACTTCAGATTTCTCACAGACTGTACTGAGAGTGGGGGCACCAACAGCTCTGGGAAATAAAGAAAAGTGACCTTTTAGGAGACTCTGTTCTTCTTTACATCCTGTCTGTGGCCTCAGAGGTCAGGGGGCACGGCCATGGGAGGCCAGAGAAGGTTCCAGCCTGATGACTGATGAGCACGTCCGCATTCCTGTGCAGTCTCAAAGCAGACGGCTGAGATTCAGATCTCAGACCCACTTACCCGCTCTGGACCTGGACTGACCCTTGTTTCCCCATCTGTAGGGTCATGCGTCCATAGGAGAGCTGCTGAGGGGATTAAGTGAGGTATATGTAGAAGTGCATTTGTCTCTTACACGACGGGATACAGGCATGGTTCCCAGCAGACGCCTGAAGCCAGAACAGAGCTCTCTGCTCTATGACGGTTTCCTTTACGTACGTAACCTGTGACAGATTTGACTTTATAAACTAGGCCCAGTAAGAGAGCAGCAACAATAACAAAACAGAGCAGTTAATTCACTTTGTTCTGCAATAAACTGTCTTCCATGCTGGGGAAAAAAAAAAAAAGAACAATTAAAAATATAATAGCGCCGGGCAGTGGTGGCGCACACCTTTAATCCCAGCACTTGGGAGGCAGAGGCAGGCAGATTTCTGAGTTCGAGGCCAGCCTGGTCTACAGAATGAGTTCCAGGACAGCCAGGGCTACACAGAGAAACCCTGTCTCAAAAAACAAACAAACAAACAAAACCCAAAAAACAATATATACATATATAATAAAATGGGAACTGGCAAGATGGTTCAGCGTGTAAAGGTGTTTGCCACCTTCGGGTCGCCAAGCTTCACAACTTGAGTTTAATCCCTGGGATTCACATGGTGGAAGGAGAGAACCAGCTTCTGAAAGGTGACCTCTGACCTCCACCTCCACTCTCACACTGTGACAGGTTCTATTTGCACATGTACACGCATATAAATAGATCTAATAAATACTTAAAATACAATTTTAAAATTTGCATGAGCATGGTCTCTTAGCAACCTCAACCTACAATTTAAAAATTGTATTAAGAACTTAGACTTTCTGTTTTGTTTTGTTTTGAGACGAAGTTTCTCTTTGTATCCCTGGCTGTCCTGAACTTCTCTACACCAGAGTAGCTTGGAACTCAGAGATCCACCTGTCTCTCTTCCTAAGTGCTGGGTGGGCCCAGAACTGGACCTTTTCACGTGAAGGAAGGCTCCGGTGCGTCTCTGGTTTCCCCGAGTTGTCTGAGTCTTGGACTGGAACTGAGGTAAGGTAGCTCGAGCACAGGGCTGTGCCCCTGTGGTAGTCGATTTATAATGCTGCTGTAGTAACTGACTTTCAGTCATATTCAACATGGACACGCTAGACTAAGTGATGACTCATGTCTGGGTTGAGATGGAACAGGAAGTATGGTATTTCATTCTCCTCAGCACAGTGTGTGACTTTACACCATGGATTGTTTTAATAAACTCTGATACTTCAGACTGCGGTTGACCAGGTAACAGAAAGCAACACTGCAGATAGAGAAGTAGAGACTTCTCTAACCACTGTGAAATACCTGGAACAGTAAATGTCAAAAAAAAAAAAAAATGAGTGTGAAACTCATTAGTGCACACAT